CCGTGGCTCCAGGGGAAGCATGGCCTTCTGAGACCAACATGGACTCAGGTGTTTGATCAGAACCCAGTCATCTGCTTGGCCTTCAGTGGTTACTGAACCTTGGATGTCAACATAGACCCTGGCTGCTGCAGGGGACCTAGACATGGCCCCCCAGCAGCAGCCCAGGCCCAATGCCATCATGTTCTCTGCATGGCAGCACAGACCACTCAGATCAACACAGCATAGCCCATGAACACCACAATGGCCACAGGTGGTGGCCCACACCCTGGGTATTACTGTGTCCTTGGTAGCAACATGGGTCATGGATGTCAACATAAGACATCCCCACTATACCCATCCTATCAGGTATGTCCAACACTCAGGCCTTACCATAGAAACTATGAATCTTCTCCAATAAAAATTATAAATTTACATAAAACATCATGAGAATATTTTTTGGTTTTTTAAGACAGGGTTTCTCTGTGGCTTTGGAGGCTGTCCTAGAACTAGCTCTTGCAGACCAGGCTGGTCTTGAACTCACAGAGATCCACCTGCCTCTGCTTCCTGAGTGGTGGGACTAAAGGCGTGGGTCGCCGCCACCACCCGCCCTGAGAATATTTTTGTAATTTTTTTCTGTAAATTGGTTGTGAGGTCCTGAAGTGTGAACATTGTAGATGACAATTGTCATGTTGCTATGTCAAAGACTGGACATTCTTGTCTGGGGTCACAGCTTCGTGTAAGTACTCTTAGAGTTCTTGGAAGAATTGCAGCCAGAGTGAGTCTTGGGCCTTCCATCCTCTGATCATATTTTCATCTTAAAAGGTTTGATAAGAGCCAATCTTTGTGAGTTCGAGGCCAGCTTGGTCTCCAGATCCAGTGCCAGGATAGGCTCCAAAGTACACAGAGAAACTCTGTCTCGAAAAACCAAAAAAAAAAAAAAAAAAAAAAAAAAAAAAAAAAAAAAAGGTTTGATAAGATTTCACTGGTCAATTATCTGTGGAAATAAAGAAATTTGGAATTACCTATTTTTGTTATTGATCTTTGTATTCAAATGCTTTTGAAGGGTGGCATCACAACTCAGTTCTTAGAAGTTTAGACTTTAGTGAGTATGGAGTCATAGCAAAGAATAACAGCACCTACTGGAGCAGATTCTCATGAGGACTCAGTGGGACGATAGACACAAGTACCCTGCCACACCTCTGGCTTATGATAGTGTTAGCATGGTGAAGGATCTGGCGGCAATGACTGCCACTTTGTGCTCTTCAGGTAAATCTGTAAGAAAGAGGTGCTGAATTGTTACAATAAATCTTTCAGCCAAAAGCCGCCGAGCCCCACCGCCACGTATGCGCTTTGCGCCAGCCACCCGCCCGAGCTAGGGCCCCAAATAATCACAGAGAGATTTGTATTAGGTACAATGCTGCTTGGCCAATGACTAGGATTCTTATCTGTTAGCTCAGTCTTAATTATCATAAATCTATATATTTTATAAGAATTATCTTATTGGATGCCTTATTGGCGTCCCTCCTTGCTGGTGGATCACATCGCGTCGCTGGAGGAAAAGCAGAGGGGAAAAGGGGACACTTCCTGTTTCTCCTTACTAAATATGAGTCTCCTTGCTATGTCACTTTCGGCCTGGATCACCACGTCTCTACTACATTTCCCAGAATCCTCTTTGACTCCTAGTCCTGTCTAACTTGCTGTTTCATTGGCCAAACAGTATTTTATTCAATAGTCAATAAGATGAACATACACAGTACATTCCCCATCACTGAATAATTTGTTCCCTTTCCCCCTATATAATCATTTTCTTTTTCTTTTCTTTTTTTTTTTTTTTTTTTTTGGTTTTTTGAGACAGGGTTTCTCTGTGGCTTTGGAGACTGTCCTGGAACCAGCTCTTGTAGACCAGTCTGGCCTCAAACTCACAGAGATCTGCCTGCCTCTGATTCCCGAGTGCTGGGATTAAAGGTGTGCGCCACCAACACCCGGCTTTATATAATCATTTTCAAATCTTTATTTTCTCCTTTCTTCTGTATCATTGTCTTTAGCCATTTATCATCACCTAATATCTATAAACACACACACAACACACACACACACACACACACACACACACACACACCTCCAAAGACCTACAAATCAAATCTAATCTAAGATCTTAATCTTTTTTTTCAACTTTTCATATGCTGTTAATTTATTTCCATAAGTGTTTGTTTCTTCAGTTTCTTCTGGGATGTATTTTCTTCTGTGCAATTTCCTCTTCTGGCGTAGGAACAATTTGCTCCTTCTCAGCACTGATCACTTCAGTGTGGCAAGGGAGCCCTCGTGTAGGTTAATCCACTGCATCAGTTCTGTTGCTGTGATAGAACACAATGGCCAAGGCAACTTACAGGAGGATGAGTTTATTTGGGGTTTATGGTTCCAGAGAGGAAAGTCCATCACCATCACCATGGAGAAGTGTCACAGTAGTCAGGCATGGCTGAGAGCTGACACCCTCAAGCTGGAAATAGAGAGAGTGAACTAGAAATGGATGTTGCCTTTACACTTTGTCTTCCAAGCTCCTACAGGATGGACCATTGAGCTCTGCTTACAGTTCAACTGATTTTCTAGTCCACAGTCCCAAAGCCTCCCACAGTCCTCCAAAAAGCAACATGATCAGGTTCTTCATGGTAATTACCCGCTCCCTGGTACCAATTGTGTATTAGTTACTTTTCCATTGCTGTGATAAAACACCATGTTCAAGGAAACTCACCAAAGAAAGAGTTTATTTTGGTCTTACAGTTCCAGAAGGTCAGAGTCGTTAATGGTGGGGACAGCAGGTGGCAGACATGATGGTGACTGGACCTGGAAAGTGAGAGCTGAGGGCTCACATCTCAAATTGCAAGCAGGAAGTTGAAAGAGTGCACTCAAAATGCTGTGAGTCTTTGAAACCTTGAAATATGCCCCAAGTGACATACTTATTCCAGCTATGCCATACTTTCTAAGCCTTTCTAAACAGTCACCAAATGGGGTCCAAGTATTCAAATGCCTGCTCTATGAGGGACTGCTCATTCAAACCACCATGTGGTAATATCTTTGTGATCTATTAAAGCTTGCCTGAGGGTACAGAAAGTAAAGTCAGCCACATTAGTTAGCTACAGGAGCCAGGTGGTGGTGGTACACACCTTTAATCCCACCACTTGGGAGGTAGAGGTAGACAGATCTCTGTTAGTTCAGGGCCACACTGAGCTACATGAAATTGATCCAGTCCTAAAGAGAAACAGCTCACACAAAAGTGATCTTAGTGCTTGGGATCACATGCCTTTAATCCTAGCACTAGGGAGGTATAAAAAGCAAAGGGTCTTTGATTGATTCTCCAGCCACACTGAGAAGAGGCTGCAGACAGAGGCTTGGTGGAGAGCTTGTGGAGACAGGATTGGCCCTTTGAGCCTGAGGTAGAGGTAAGAGCTGGTGACTTGGCTGCTTTGCTTTCCTGATCTTCAACTTGAAACTTGAACCCCAATATCTGTCCCTGGGTTATTTATTTTTCGCGTTTCAACACCATATTTCACTGTGAGCTCTGGAAGTTAGACAGTGCATCTTGGACAGTGCTTCATCCCCCTGCAGATGTTCAATGCAAGCACCTATACTTAATCTTTAAAGCCCATTTCCGGGGCATGCCAGGCTCCTTTTATTTCCTTCTCTCAGTCTCCTATTTTAATTTATCCCTTCTACTTGAACCAAGCCTAAAGCAGTTCTCATATACTTGGCTTTTATATACTTTCAGGCCTGTTTCCAAGCTGTTATAGGAGAATGCAACCTTCCTTTTTAGTGCGTGCCTGCTCTTTTCCATCACATTAGTTCTGCCAGCAGATTTCAGGGACCTGACAGTTTCCCCAGACCTTATGCTGCGCAGATATAGACTTTCTGCAATTTTGTGCATCGCTCTGGTGTGTGATTCAATAAATTACTTGCCATTCTTCCAATACCTTACTGTTTGTTTCTCTTCAGCAAATGTTCATTCAACCAAAGCCTACTGACATCCCACAGTATGTCAAACACGGTGCTAGATGTTGTGCATATAAAATGAATAAAGCACTATTTCATATTCATCCATTATGCTTCAGTAGATCTGGCGGGGGTGCGCGGGAGGGGGGGAAGCAGTATTTTTGTCTAGGAGGAGTTCAGTTGGTAGTCTACAAAACAAAGGTAGGCATGTAAACATGCCTTTATCTAATGGTACAGTATCTAAGTATCACACACTGTGAAATTGAGAAACAGGCTTTCCCCCGGGGGTGACCCCCAGGAAGTAACATTTCCATTAGTCTTTGTTCGTAAGTAGAAGTTTGCCAACCTAAGGACAGGGCCAGAGTAAAGTAAAGGGAAAATGGAGTATCTATTGGGGATTGGTTTCGAATAGGCTCTGAAATGGGATGGCGAAGGGCATGGCGCCTTCAAACAGGTAGATGGGATTGGTGTGGAGGGTTTATGGAATACTCGGTACGGAAGGATCAAACTGAGAACCCAGTTGAAGCAGAGGGTAGAATTTCATTTTAAAGGCAAGCGGGAGAGGAAACTGTTTAACCATCAGTTTTGTTTCTTACATGTTGGGTCTTACTGATCCAACTAGCTGGCATTCAAGCTTTGGCGTCTGCGTGAGCAAGCAGAATATCTTGATTCAGGTCTCAACACGGCATGTGTCCAGTATACTCACTTCTACTCTAGTGCCCACTTGTGACAATGACGTTGGGCCAAGAATCTGATTTTATGCCTTGCCTCTTCAGCTAGGGTTGGGCAAATACACACAGATTTTGCCTATTTAAACCATAGATTTTCCATTTCTGTACTTTTTTTTTTTTTTTTTTTTTTTTTCTTTCAGTTATCCAAGGGTCGTCTTTTAACGCTCTGCTTGGGATTTGGCTCTTCCTTTTTCCGCACTTCGACCAGTGAGAGACACGCTGCCAGAAGTCACGCCCACCGAAGAAGTTGCCGAAGCAGGAAATTTGTCCCTTGCGACGCGCCGTCCTCCCGTTGCCGTGCGCAGGCGCAGCTCCCGGTTCGGCGGCGTGTTCCTCTTTTCCCCAAGTTCCTGGTATCCCGGCCGGTGAGCGACGCCGGCTTTTGGCGGTCTCGGTGCTCCGGAGTCTGGCTGTGGTCTGTCGCTGTCCGTCTGTCCTTCAGCTTGGGGCCGCTGCTCGTGCGCACAAGCCGCCGCACGCCACAGACTCATGGCGGAGCGCGGGGAACTGGATCTGACCGGCGCCAAACAGAACACCGGCGTGTGGCTGGTCAAGGTGAGACGCGAGCCCCCGGCGCCTCCGCGCGCCCCGAGCCTCCCGGCCCTGAGAAGAGAAGCCCTGGGTCGCCGTCGCGTCCGTTTCCAGGCTAGAAAAGTGACTTTCGGGACGCAGGGCGTCTTTCAGCCGGTCCCTTAGGGAGACCCGCCCGGCGTGGAGCTCCCTCTCCTTAGGTAGGGTGCTGCCTCGTGTCCCGGAGTGAGCGAGCGGCACTTCTCACCTCACTCCAGGCCGGAGCGCCTTCTTTTGGTAAAGTTGACTTTAGTCGCAGATCGGTATATGTTAGTTGAGTAGATATCCTGTACAGTTGTTGTCTGGGCCACAAGGTGGAATTGGCCCCTGTGTACCTTTTTTTTTTTTTTTTTTTTTTTTTTTGAAACAGGATCTCACTTGTAGTCCTGGCTGCCCTGGAACGTGGGCTGAAGACCCCCTGCCTCTGTACACTGCTGTAGTGTTCCCCGGGTTGGTAATCCTGATGGAGCTCTCGAAAGACCTGGAAGTTGTGAACTTAGAAAGGAGGAGCTGTTGGACTTTTTTTTTTCTCCTTCCCAGACAGGGTTTATCTGTGTGACAGCGTTGACTGTCCTGGAACTCGCTCTGGAGACCAGGCTGGTCTCGAACTCACAGAGATCCGCCCGCCTCTGCCTCACGAGTGCTGGAATTAAAGGCTTGCTGCACCCCACCCGATGGACTTAGTGTTTTTAAAGAGCAAGTTTAGATCTCATGAAACTAAACATCAGTAAATATTTTTTTATGGTTATAGCAGGCTTTGTTTGCTCTTATTTGGCTTACTTTTGCACACGGGGAGGGGGGGTGTACTCTTTGGGCAATTTCATTTTAGAAAGCCATATTTAAATAGAGCACGAAAGTTTTTCAAATTCACAGGAACTTTTGGTTTATGAATGTTTTTATAATGAATGCCAATGTTTTAATTACATGACTAAGTGCTCATTAAGTCAAGAAGTTTCTTTATGTCCATTTCTCTGAAACAACTCATCATTTGCCAGCACATCAGACTGTGTTAAATTCTTCAAAGCACTAACAGTTTCCAGTGATTCTTTGTACCTGTGTCCAATGTTGACTGCCACCCCCACCCTCTGGAAAGTCACTTTCTTTGCACTCCAATTATTGTTTGGCTTTTCCAATAAGTCATAATGAGTGTAAGATCTCTTACTCTTCAGCCTTTACTTAAGCTCTCATTTGTTTTATTTCACAGCTGTGTAGGCATGACTTAAAAACTTGGAGCGAATGGGCTTTTCTGTGTTCAACTGTTTGTTAAAACGAGAGCTTGTGATTATGGAGATCTCCCTGGTACACAGATGGAGAGAGCTTGCAAAAATGTTGGGACTTGAGTTGATGCCTTTGTATTTGGAGTATGGCAAATACTCAGTGTTTGCCTTACAGGGTTTGGATGTGTGTGTGTGTGGGGGGGCGGTTCCTGAAAGGAACTCAGCTTAAGCCAGTGTTTTGTGCCTGTTTTCTGTTCTGTAGAAAGAAAGGAGAGTTGGAGTACTGAGCTGTGTCAAGTCAAACCAACAGTTTCCTACCTGGCAGACAACTATGCCCAACACATTCCTCTGCAAATGTGTTCTGCTCTTTGTTAGGGGAGGAGGGACTCATCCTCTGTGCATGTGATGTCCTTCATTCAGCTACCACCAAGCTCAGCCTTTACTTTTTCACAGATGAGCAGGGACTTGGGCACTGATGTGTGCCAGACACAAACTAAAGTGGGTGGGAGATAGTCTTGTCATTGTTCATTGGATTAAGAGCCTAAGAGATTAGGCTTTGGGTATGTTGTGCTGTTTCTGGAGACAAGCAATTCATGAGGCTGAGATCTAATTAATGGATTCATTAATTACTCCTTTGGTGGATTCATACAATGGCTTCTCTGGGAGGTGGTGTAGTGAGTGAGGTGGGGAACTACTTGGAAGAGGTAGATCCTCTCAATGTGTTCTTAGGGCTGTGTCTTACCCTGGCCCTTTCTCTGTCCTCTTTATCTTGGTCATTGTGGTGTGAGCAGCAGTGCTCTTCCTTGCTTTTCCCACCACAATAGACAGTGCAAAAGTAACTCTTCAATTGTGTCTGTCAGGTATTTGTTCACAGCAACCAAAAATGATTAATGCAGCTAACATAGCAAAGGCTTGGAAGTATCAGGACAAAAGAGAACCTCCTTCCCCCCTCCCTCCCTCCCTCCCTTCATCCCCCCCTTTCTATAGTCCAGGCTGACCTTGACCTCACTCTGTAGCCCACGCTGGCCTTAAACACATGGCGATGGATCCTCCCTCCTCAGGGTGAGCTGGAGCACAAGAGCTTCTTGTATATTTATTTATGTTACAAATTAAAGCTACCAAACAGACACTACTGTGGTGGTTCACACCTTTAATCCCAGACCTTGAGAGGCCAGCCTTGTTTATATAGTGAGTTCCAGGCCAGTCAGGAACATAGTAAGACCCAGAGGCCAGACCAGGGCGTTGGATTCCCTGGTACTACAGTTATACACGGTTGTGAGAGACCATGTAGGTGCTGAGAATTGGACTGAGGTCCTCTGGAAAAACAATCAGTGCTTTTAATGCTGACCTATCTATCTCTCCAGCCCCTATGAAATGTCAGTAGCAAAAACATTAAAAATCCATGTGGTTTTGGAGATCCATTGTACACAGTCCCACGAAGCTTTATTGCTGAGATATGTCATTAGCCCTAGTGAGTCACTAGTCGGTTTCACATTTGTAGAAAGGGAGAGTGAGTACATGTGTGTGCAGAGTAACTGAGAGGATGGATGGACAGTGGATGTAGAATTTCGAATATGGACTCACAGAGTTGTCTTCTCTCCTTAGGCATATTATCTGGCACATATTTGTAGTTCAGTAAGTTAATGTGACAGACATACACAGAATTGAATAAACACAGTCTTTTTTACCCCTTTGTTTTTTTAGCCTTAACTGTTGTCAAGGTATTGTACCCAATAATGAAATCTTGCTAGACTTTTTTCCCCTCTTTCCAGCCCTGACACACACCATATCTTAGTTGTGCATTTGTGTTGACGATGATATTCCAAGTTTACTATGAGAAATACTGATGACAGTGGTATTCATTGAGTATTTACTCCACACAACACATTATGCTTTATTCCATATTTATAGTCTTCCTTAGCTTCTCATAACAGGATAACCATAACAGTATGTACTGATTTCAGGGTCTACACTACTTTGAAGAAAGAGACAAATTACATATCAGAGAATTAATACACTATTCCCTTAGAATTTAACCCCTGGTGACTGCTGTGTCTGGTTTTAAACACAGTATTTGTATGGTTGAGAGTGTAGTCCCTGGCACATAGACTCTGGAGGTGGCTTGACCTTGAATCCTAGCTCTATCATTTACTAATTGTATAACCTCAGGGAAGGTATATGAGCCCTGGGTACCCATAATCATCATGAAATGTTTTGCTTCATTTTAGGTTCCTAAATATTTGTCCCAGCAATGGGCTAAAGCCCCTGGAAGAGGTGAAGTTGGGAAACTGAGGATTGCCAAGTAAGTTATTTATATACGTATATAGTGCATAAACCATAAAAGTTTAAAAGCTGTTGTTTTTGAAAATGTTTATAATTGCATTTGAATGTGATCACATTCTTAGAGAATGTATTTAGAGGATGAGAGTTACTGGGCATGTTAAAGCAGGTCATAGGATAATTATGTATTCTGTGAGGAGATAGGTTTGTGTCTATGTGATAGGTAGTGTGAATATAAAGTTAAATTTATTGGTGAAACTTGTTGGCAGTGAAGGAGCAGATGACAGGATCTCCCCAGCTCTTTATCTGTTCATGGTGTGCAGAGGTATGCTCGCATTAGGCATACACAGAAAATACTTCCATGGAAGGACTCTGCTACTGACATCGTGCCTGCCTGTAGGGCTCTGAAGGAGATAGAGAGCTTCCAGTAAACACCAGCACAGACAAGCCTCAGAAGCTGAATTGGTGTCACCTGAGGCGTTGTGTTCCAGTTTTTTCCCATTCATTCATTCATTCATTCATTCATTCATGTTTGTTGCCCCTCTTCTATAAGGTAGTTGAATCCAGGTCTTCCATGTTAGGAAACATTTCATCACTGAGCTTCATTGCCAGTCCTGTCCCTCCACTCTGTCTGTCTTATCTTGTTTTTTGTTTTTATTTTTGTTTTTTTTCGAGACAGGGTTTCTCTGTGTAGCTTTGAAGCCTATCCTGGCAGTCACTCGAGACCAGGCTGGCCTCGAACTCACAGAGATCCACCTGCCTCTGCCTCCCCAATTAAAGGCATGTGCCCCCAATGCCCAGCTTTTTTTTTTTTTTTTTTTTTAGGACAGGGTTTCTCTGTGTAGCCCTGGATGTCCTGGAATTTGCTCTGTAAACCAGACTGGCCCTGAACTCAGAGATCCACCTGTTTCTGCCTCCTGAGTTTGGAACTAAAGGTGTTTGCTACTGTGCCTGACTTCACCCTTTCATTAAATAAATATTATTTTATTTTTTCCAGTTTTTTATTTTTTTAACTATTTTATTTTTATGTGCATTCGTGTTTTTTCTACATGTTTGTCTGTGTGAAGGTATCAGATCTTGGAGCTGTAGACAGTTATGAACTGCCATAACCCAGGTCTTCTGGAAGAGCAGTCAGTGCTCTTTAACTGCTGAGCCATCTCTCCAGCCCCTAAAATATTATTTTATTATATGTGGTTTTTGCCTGTATGTATATACATATGTCTGTGTACTACATTCTTGCCTGATGATTGAAGAAGCCAGAAGAGGGCATCTGATCCCTTGCAACTGGAGTTACAGTCAGTTTTAAACCAACATGAGGATACTGGAAATTCAATCCCATTCCTCTGGAAGAGAAGCCAGTGCTCTTGACTGCTAAACCATCTCTCCAGCCACTCATCCATTCACTTTTAATCCAGCTCCAGTGAGATTCCCATGCCTACCACTTCATTGAAACAGTTCCCATCTGTTACCAATTTCCCGTCTTTATCAGTTAGCTTTTGTTTCATAACAGAACATTAAAAATTTTTTATTTATAAACAGTTCTCTGAATTTGTTCTGGTTGGGGCTAACCTGCAGTCCTCCCTGACTAGACTGGCCATGTTGATGTAGTATGGCTTCCGTGTCAGCTGAGCAGTGCCCATTTGTTCTCCTCCAGCATGTTCACATGGTGATCAGCGTTCCCAGTACCAAAAGAAAAGAGGGCCTATAGTTCAAGCAGTTGCAAGACTGAGCTGTGTCTGTTTCCTAAAGGCCTGTTGGCCAGAACCAAATTCAAGGGTCTGCAACAGAGCCGGGCGTTGGTGGCACATGCCTTTAATCCCAGCACTCGGGAGGCAGAGGCAGGTGGATCTCTGTGAGTTCGAGGCCAGCCTGGTCTCCAGAGCGAGTGCCAGGACAGCCTCCAAAGCTACACAGAGAAACCCTGTCTCGAAAAACCAAAAAAAAAAAGGGGGGGGGGTCTGCAACAGATTCCAACACCAAAGAATTCATTGCTGTGAGCACATTTATTCCACATCTACATTCCCAATTCTTCAGAAATTAAGTGGCAGCCATCTTGATTGGCCCTCATCAGAATTTGACATGGCTAATCACTTCTTTCTTTAAAACTGTTACCCATCACATCAGGACAGCACTCTGCTGCCCCCTTCCTTCATTGTCTCCTTCTCCTTTGGATCTCAATAGGCTCCCTACTCCATCTCAGCTCCTTACACATGACCCCTCCTCTCAGTCATCGGTTCTTGTCTTCTCTTTCTATTTTCTTTTGAGTGGTCTCTGTCTCTTCTCCTGCTTTAAATGCAAATGATGTTGAAATGTCTAGCTGAAGTCTAGCCCTCCCCCAAACTCTAGGCTGGTGACTGGCCCTCTCTTCCATATTCCCACAGGGGTGTGTGTCTTAAGCGCATCTCCAGCTTAGTGATTGCTACCTGCTTCTGTCAGAAGCAGCTTCCTCTGGTAGCCCCATGGCTTGCTCCCACACCTTTCTAGGTCCCCATTGACATGCCACTCCCAGGGGATAGCAGCTCCCTGAGGGCTTCCTGGTCACCCATAGGAAACAGCGGCTATGCTTTCTACCTCCTCCCTCTTTTTTCTTGTGTCTTTTCTTTCTTGTACTTGACTTTTTTTTTCCACTTAACTGCTTTTCTCATCTTACCTACTATGTATTTTCGTATCATTTATCTTTTCTGGTGTACTGTAAGTGCTACAAGGTCAGAACTTCTATTTTTAATAACTGTATTTGTCGTCTTTAGAATAGTGGATGGCATGGAACACACTGAGCAGAGCTTTGTTGAATCGGTCAATAAAAGAAAACTTCTAAAACAAGTTTAGTAAAATTAGCTGTTTCACTATGTATTTCTTTATACAGTAGTCCCAAAATTGACAGCTAGTAAACAAAAGTGAACATTTTAGGGCTTAAATTTTTCTGCTTGTTCTCCTGAAGTATGGAGTTTATGTCCCCTGTCCCCCAGATACCTAGGATCAGTGAAAATGACTTTTCAGGGACCAGTTTAAAGCTGCCTCAAGAAAGACGAATCACTCTGGGGTTAGGTTTATTAGCTTTTTCTGGGTTTTGATATGACTTGTCTTGAAGAAATTTGATACTTCTTTGTATTACTTGTTTTGTCTCTTAGTTCTTTGTTTCTTGTGTGTCCTTGTGCCCATGTATATGCATGTTTAAGTATTTTCAGATGAGAGCATGCACGCACGCATGCACACGCACTCGTGTGTGTGTGTGTGTGTGTGTGTGTGTGTGTGTGTGTGTGTGTGAGAGAGAGAGAGAGAGAGAGAGAGAGAGAGAGAGAGAGAGAGAATCTCAGGAGTTCCCCAGGAGCTGTCTACCTTGTTTTTTGTTTGTTTGTTTTGTTTTGTTTTTTGAGACAGGGTCTGTTACCAAGGCTTTGGGTTCACCAAGGTATTGTTCCACCTGTGACACCCCAATACGCCTCCATGCCTGACTTTTTATCTAGTTGCTGGGGTCAGGTTCTCATGCTTTGGTGGTAGGCACTTTACTGACCAAGCTCTCACCCAGTCCCAGGTTCCTCCTATTATAAAATAATATATTGATTGAAAGCAGGTCAGAGTTGTGATGATAGGTAGGAACAGACAGCACCTCTTTTTCTCAGGGAATGATCATGTCTGATAATTTTTATATATGTTGTCCTGGGAAACCCAGGACATCACATATGCTGACATTCTTTACCAACAACTCCCTTGCCCTTACTCCAGATATTTATTGAATTAATGAACCAGATTTGAATTCAGGCTGTTCAGTAAGAAACTCCCAACGGGTTCCAGTTCCATTTGGATTTCTAGACTGCACAGGTCACTGAATCCTTCTGAGGTTAGATCTCTTGTCTTGAAGCTGTCTGTTTGGGGCTGGTGTGGTAGCTGAGGAAAGGCCTTGTTGCCAAGCCCGATAGCTTGAACTCAGTCCCTGGAACCTACATGATGGGAAGACATGTCAGAAGACAACCCTTACAGGTTGTTGTCTACAGGCTCTCACCCCACCCCTATAAACTATAAATGCATTAATTTAAAAAGTTAAGTTGCCTGTTTTGTGGTGCTTTCATAGGAATCAAGTGAGATAATGTGGAAATAGTTGCTTATGTACATAAGTATAGCACAAGGTGGGGGTCGGGGTGGCGCATGCCTTTAATCCTAATACTTGGGAGGAAGAGGCAGGTGGATTTCCATGAGTTTGAGGCCAGCCTGGTCTATGGAGTGAGTTCCAGGACAACCAAGGAGGTTATACAGAAAGACCCTGTCTCAAGGAACTAAAAAAAGCATAGTATGAACATATTCCTTGAAAGTTATAAATAATATTTTTCTGACTCATACATTGATTGGTTTTGGGGTGCTGAGGGTGGGCCTCACAGGTGCTAGGAAAAGCACTCCACCACTGAAATGCTGGAGTACCAGCCACACTTGCTGACAGAAGCAAAGAATGCACACCTTCAGTTAAACTTGCAGTGTCTATTTTCTGCTCTAATGGGATCCTTTGTAATGCAGATAATTATCTACTTTCTTTCTCCCCCCCCCCCCCAGACAGGATTTCTCTGTGTAGCTTTGGAGCCTATCCTGGCACTCACTCTGGAGACCAGGCTGGCCTCGAACTCACAGAGATCCGCCTGCCTCTGCCTCCCCAGTGCTGGGATTAAAGGCGCGTGCTACCAACGCCCGGCTAATTATCTACTTTCTTTAAAGGACTCACTTAAACATTTTTTTTTTTTTTTTTTTTTTTTTTTTTTTTTGGTTTTTCGAGACAGGGTTTCTCTGTGTAGCTTTGGAGCCTATCCTGCCTGGCACTCGCTCTGGAGACCAAGCTGGCCTCGAACTCACAGAGATCCGCCTGCCTCTGCCTCCCGAGTGCTGGGATTAAAGGCGTGCACCACCAACGCCCGGCTCACTTAAACATTTTTTATATTAAATATATTTACATCATTATCCTCTCTCTTTTCTCCCCTCAAACCCTCCCATGTACCCCACTCTTTGTAATTTATCACCTCTTTCTCTCTCTCTCTCTCT